CACACAAACACACACACACACACACACACACTCACACACACACACACACACACACACACACACACACACAGCACAGGGGCTGTTTCAATGCCCGCTTATGCCTCAAATGCTTGATTCTGAATCATATTGCTGCTTGTGCAGATTTTGATTCAAATGAGTGTGCTGCTCAGAAGGCTGTCCAGGTAGGGCACTCGCTGCGGACTGAACAGAACTACAGATGATGACAGCACACTTCCTTCAGAACAGTATTAATGTGAGCGGCTGCTGCTCCAAACACACATCATCTGACTCTCTTTCTGACAGCACTGCAGCATTTCAGCGTATTCCAGATAACATCCTCTCTGTCTGTCTCTTTATCTCTCAGGCTTAGCACGTTTGGTCAAGAGTATGCTTTACTTCCGTGGACTACATCTCCCATAATTCCTCTGGAGTGCCTCTGAAATCCCACTCGAGCAGGAGACGGCGGCGGCGAGGAGTATTTCCTCCACAAAACCAGCGCCCGTGAGGGTCGACGAGCCCCGCCGCAGACTGAAGCTTCTCAGCTCGCGTACACCAGCACTCACGTGCTTTAACATGCTCAGTTCATAACATGTATTACTAAACAAAAGGCAATTAACCTAAGCTAATCTGGACAAACTAATTTCTGTAACGAGTATGCAGCAAAATCGTAAACACCATTCAGAGTTTTATTATGAAGATAAACGTGCAATCATGCAAAGATCTGAGGAAACCCTGATTATTTTTCATGTGAAGAGTTCAAAACATAACATCCATTGAAGTTTCTTTTGTCTGAAATATTCAAAAACATAGACAAATTCTCCATTTATGATGTAACATGTCTTCAACATGATCTGTTACACATGAACGGTTTGTCACTTCAACAATAATCTGCCATGTGTCTATTTTATGATTTACGAATGCAAGATTTACACATAGTTATGAATGTCATTTTAGAGTCTAGGTTGAATGAGGTGAATTCAGTTCCAGTGCATGTGTTAGCAGATCTTCAAACATACAGTACTGTCACAAAGAGACTTTCATGATGAGTGCTTTAGAAACAGCTCCTGATCTGCCAAGACTCAGAGAAAACATCAGCCGTGTGTGTGTGTGTGTGTGTGTGAAGATGTTTAGCTGAGCGTGGTCAATAACACAGTGTGAAAGTCAAAAGTCTCCAGTTTAATTTCTCTGTCTCGTATGTCTTCAGTGAAAGGCAGCAGAAATGCAGCAGTCAACACATTCAGCTCTAAGCAGAGTATGATTGATCGAAACCAATACAGTCTCAAACAGCCGCCATTATGAATAGAGAGAGAGACTGAGAGAGAGAGAGAGCGAGAGAGAGAGAGAGAGAGAGAGAGAGAGAGAGAGAGAGAGAGAGAGCGAGAGAGAAAGAGAGGGCGAGAGGGTGGGACAATTCCTCCTCATCTGTCACACACTCACAAACAAATATACACACACTCACTGTCACTGTCACACTGCCACTGCAATGCAGGGAGGGAAAAAGAGGATTTTCCCCATATTGCACACACACACACACACACACACACACACACACACACAGCACAGGGGCTGTTTCAATGCCCGCTTATGCCTCAAATGCTTGATTCTGAATCATATTGCTGCTTGTGCAGATTTTGATTCAAATGAGTGTGCTGCTCAGAAGGCTGTCCAGGTAGGGCACTCGCTGCGGACTGAACAGAACTACAGATGATGACAGCACACTTCCTTCAGAACAGTATTAATGTGAGCGGCTGCTGCTCCAAACACACATCATCTGACTCTCTTTCTGACAGCACTGCAGCATTTCAGCGTATTCCAGATAACATCCTCTCTGTCTGTCTCTTTATCTCTCAGGCTTAGCACGTTTGGTCAAGAGTATGCTTTACTTCCGTGGACTACATCTCCCATAATTCCTCTGGAGTGCCTCTGAAATCCCACTCGAGCAGGAGACGGCGGCGGCGAGGAGTATTTCCTCCACAAAACCAGCGCCCGTGAGGGTCGACGAGCCCCGCCGCAGACTGAAGCTTCTCAGCTCGCGTACACCAGCACTCACGTGCTTTAACATGCTCAGTTCATAACATGTATTACTAAACAAAAGGCAATTAACCTAAGCTAATCTGGACAAACTAATTTCTGTAACGAGTATGCAGCAAAATCGTAAACACCATTCAGAGTTTTATTATGAAGATAAACGTGCAATCATGCAAAGATCTGAGGAAACCCTGATTATTTTTCATGTGAAGAGTTCAAAACATAACATCCATTGAAGTTTCTTTTGTCTGAAATATTCAAAAACATAGACAAATTCTCCATTTATGATGTAACATGTCTTCAACATGATCTGTTACACATGAACGGTTTGTCACTTCAACAATAATCTGCCATGTGTCTATTTTATGATTTACGAATGCAAGATTTACACATAGTTATGAATGTCATTTTAGAGTCTAGGTTGAATGAGGTGAATTCAGTTCCAGTGCATGTGTTAGCAGATCTTCAAACATACAGTACTGTCACAAAGAGACTTTCATGATGAGTGCTTTAGAAACAGCTCCTGATCTGCCAACTCACCGACTAGAGACGAGTCTCCTACAGACAGAGAGAGAGAGAGAGAGAGAGAGAGGTTTAGTGCTCAGCTTCATCCATCAGCTCTTACAATCATCTGAAAACATGCACTGCTCATATCAGACATGTTAGTGATATTATAGCAGAGATCAACCAACGTTTCACAGCTGTTTTCATGTGATTTCATGAGGTTGAGTCTGATTTAACCTGATGTTCCCTCCAGATGAACTTTATGATCCAGTGATGATTCATTATGAACGCAGACTCTTATTTCACCTGCTGCTCGTTAACATGTTCTTCACCAAAACCCAAATCAAAGAAAAGTGGAGAAGGCCATCTAATACCTGATCTCATAAGAACACGTTTGTTTATTAATAAATAATACAATTATCAGCTTGATTATCGTCAATATTAATTATGTTTTTAAGCAATTAAAAGCTCATCTCTGTGAGCAAAATAACAAAGAAAAATGAATTCAACACATCTCAAATAAATCCACATACTTTGAGCAATGACGCGGGGTGAAAATAATAAAAACATATTATGAAATTAAATTAAATTAGATTAACAAAAATGTTTTTTCACGTAATCTGAGTAAAGACATGGAGTTCATATCTACAAATATTCATGGCTGGGCTAAAAAAAAGAGAAAGAAATTGAAATCCAACGTAAAATGAAGTGACTTTTTTTTTTTTTTAACCTTTATTTAACCAGGGAATGAAACTCTTGAGATTTAAAAATCTCATTTCTCAGGTTTATCATTCTAGGAATTACATTCTAGGAAAAAATCAATTCAACAAATGATTGAAGTAACAAGCTGCTATTTGAAATATTTGTCAGCAGAACTGATATCAGTGATATAAATACAGTTATCATACTGACAATAACTGAGCACACAGCAGACAAAGAACAGCACACACACACACACACACACACACACACACACACAC